CAAAGGCCCTAGATGGGTTTGATCCCCCCAGTACTGGGGAGGGCTCCCATCTCAAACTGACCCACATTAGAAGAAACAGAAGGAAGTGGTTACAGCTAGGAATTTGCAATGAAAGGTTGACTGGTTAACAGGCATGGTGGGGAGTTACTGATAAACCAAGGACCAGCAAATGACCTGCTAGACAGTAAATATTTTAGCTTTGTGGGCCACCTACTGCCTCCTCACTCTTAGCTTGAAGACAATACAAAAATCTGTTTTAAACTACACCCTACTGTATTTAGTAACATGCATATACTGCTAATTCAGCTGAGGCAGGACGGTTTCAAATTCAAGCCTAATTTAGGCAACTTAAGTCACTCAGACCCTATTCTCAAATTAAGAAAAAGGGCTTTGGGTTCATTCCCCAGTAGAGTAACAAACAAAACAAAGCCAAGCCAAGCCAGGAATTGTGGGGGCATGCCTGTAATCTGTAAGACCTAAAGTCTCATTTTTACTTCACGGAGTGTGAACAGCCAAAAGGTCTCCACGATGCTGGGCCCTAACACCCAGCGAGGCTCTGGGAACATGATAGAGAATCGAGAAACCCAGGAAGGAACATATCAGCCTAGATGGTAAAAGATTTTTATTAGTCTGGCCAGACGGTACTCTCAGAATTAGGTGGCTCAGAGAGGCAACTGCTCAGGGGCTGAAGTATTTTTTATAAGGTTTTTTTAAACAAAGAGTCAGGGAATTTATAGAATAAGATTGTAAACACATTGTTTATCTTATGTAGGAAATGTTTTAGGGTCACCTTTTGTCAAACCATTTGCCCCTAGGCGGGCTGAGTAGAGTAACAAACAAAACAAAGCCAAGCCAAGCCAGGAATTGTGGGGGCATGCCTGTAATGTAACCACCCAGGAGGCTGAGGCAGGAAGATCCCTGCGAGTTTGAGGCCAGCCTAGGTTACAAAGTGAGTTCAAGATGCCGAGCTTGGTGGCGCACTCCTGTAATCCCAGCACTCAGGAGGCTAAGCCAGGAGGATCGCTGTGAGTTTGAGACCAGCCTGGGCTACTTAGTGAGTTCCAGGTCAATCTCAACTACATAGTAAGAACCTGTCTCAGAAAAAACAAAGTGAGTTCAAGGCCAGCCTGAACCACACAGTGACACCTTGCCTTGAAAAAATTAGCACCAGGGATTTAGCTCAGTGGCACTGTGCCTGCCTTAAAAGCACAAGGCCCTGAGTTCAATCCCCAGTACTGGGGGAAAAAATAAGAAAAAAACAAAAAATACTAATGTTTCTCAAACTGATTCTATTAATTTTCCCTTCCTTTCCAGTCCTGTGGCTAACTGGGTGCCTAGTTAGCACTTCACTTGGCCTGGGAGATCTTGATGACACCTTCTTGCCCGTGTGCTCTAGCCCCTCGCCTGACCCCTCACTGGTCACATGTCCCTGGTTTCTGAGAGGAACCAGTGTGGGGTTGTGGCCATCCACACCAGAATTGGAATATTCAGGCCAGCAGGCTAGCCAGTGAACAGGTTCTTTATCTGAGTAACCCATCAGGCAGGTGGCCACTTCACATCAAGGAACAGTGTGAGACAGAGTACAGATGCTGTTCCTCCTGCGTCTCTGAGAACTGAGCTGCCATTCTTGGTGAGTCAACAGTCTCAGCTGACCAGTGCAGAGGCCAATGCATGTGGTAATCACGCAGAAATAGAGCGGAGGAAAGCCACCTGGGACGTGGTCCCCAGCACTAACACACCTCCCAGAGTTCTTGGAATGGAGAATGCTGCTCTGTGGATGCCTTCAGCAGTGGGTGAGTCATTCCCCGTAACCACTGCCCCAGCCCAGTCCCTTGCCTTTATTGCTTCACACTATTGGTTATTTTTTAAATTCTAGAATGCAATGGGCAAGAGGACCTTGACCCTTTGTGCCTAACCCAGAGCACTGAAAGTCATGAAGTATGAGAACGTGCTTAGCTGATTCTTTTTCTGCCAGTCAACCCAGTCTTGAGGGCCCTCCTTTCCAATTCACATTTTTGAAATCCTTAACGTGATCACAGTGGACTGCATTCAGAAGCAGCTAGAGTCCAAATGACTCAGCTACTGAGACATCTGTAGAATTGAGAAACAATGCTACCCCGTGGTTTTGCAAAATAATGATTTTCCAAGAAATTAACACGTAATACTGTTTCATCTTTAAACTAATATTTTTACTTCTAATTTTTTATATTCATCTTCATATAAACAAAAGCTCTTCAGAGCTATGTAAAGAGGTTCTAGATAAAAATTTTGAGAATCTCCCATTAAGCAACTCTTAAAATTGGATTCTGGCCAATACGGTGCCACACACCTATAATCCCAGCATTCAGGAGGCTGAGGCAGGAGGATTGCCTCAAGTTTGAGGCCAGCCTGGACTACATAGTGTTTAAGGCTGGCCTGACCTACATAGTGAGATCCTGTCTCAAAAAACAAACAAACAAACAAACAAAAAAAAAAAAAAAAAAAAAAAAAAACTGTGGATACTGGGTGTGACAGCAGTACCTATAGTCCCTGCTAATCAGGAAGCTCCTGTGGGAGGATTACTTTAGCCCTGAAATCTGAGGCCAGTCAGGGGAAAAGCAAGACCCTGTTTCAAAAGTTTTGAGCTGTACCCTGGGCAATTCAGCAGGACTGTCTCTAAATTAAAAAGGCTAGGGCTTTAGCTCAGTGCAAAGGCCCTGGGTTGAATCCCCAGTATGTGGGGGTGTGTAACAATGCTTTGGGCAAATTCCAATTAATAAGCATTTTGCCATGTAGGAACACAGAGATTACGCCAGTACTTTGGGCTATTTTTTTTTTTTTTTTTTGGTATCGGGGATTGAACTCGAATCTTTGCGCTTGCAAGGCAGGCCACCAAACCGCTGAGCTAAATCCCCGGCCCAGGATTTTTTTTTTTAAGACAAGATCTAAGATCTCACTTTGTAATTCAGAGTGGCCCTGAACTAACTATGTAGCCTAGGCTGGTCTCACAGTAATCCTCCTGGCCTCAGCCTCCCCACTGCTGGGTTCAAAAGTGTATGCCACCACACCCAGCTGAGCTCTTTCTGAATAGCCTCGGTGACCATGTCTAAATCCATCTAGCGGTTCTGACAGTGTCTACAGCTGTACTTTCCTGCCGTGGGATGTTTGGTCCATTTCTGCCCTCAGAGACTCCCTCAACAGAGCTCAGCTCCACCAACATGTGCTGCAGGGTGCTTCCTAGCAGGGCAGAGGCAGCCTGGGGTCAGCACAATGACCCGGGATAGGGAACAGTGAGGTTATCGGTCAGGAGTGGGCCCCTGGGCCCATCAGTCATGGCTAGTTTCACAGCCACCCTTCACTCTCAGGGTAGTCTGAATGACGAAGTGAACACAGGTGACTTCATCAGCACAGAACAAGCCTGTTCACAGGCGTCATCACACTTCAAAAGCAAGCTAAAACTGCTTAGGAAATTAAAAGGCTGTCTTCTGCCACTGTGTGAGTCCACGTCATCCCCTTCTGCTGAAACATGCACCTGCTGACAGGCAGAAAGGCTTTACACTGGCATTCTTTCCTGTGGTCAACCCCTGCCCCATAGCCATGACACAGCGCCCCTCACACCCACCTCACTGACACCTTTTGAACACAAGGCCATAGAGCTCAGCTGCCGTGAAACTCAGGTCTGTTTCTCACCATCAGGTCCCAGGACAGTCCTCAGTGATCTAGCTGAACAGCTTGTTTCTTAAGAGAAACGGGAGGCCCAAAAGGTGCAGTGCTGTCTTTCTGACTTGTGTGGTAGAGGGACCAAACCCAGGATCTCACGTGTGCTAGACAAGTGCTCTTCCACTGAGCACACCCGAGCCCTTGGTTTTCAGGTCTAGTTCCCAGATATAGTCAGTCGCTTTACAGCACACACTGTCTGGCCCCACACCCCCTCCAACCTCATTCCTTGGCAGGAGGAGGAGAAAACACCCACACCCAACCAGACCTTCAAACGCAAGGGACAAATTCAACTCATTAAGTGAAACTAAGCAGCACTGACATCAGATCTGTAAGTTTATTTGCTCAATGTACGACAGCTACATAATGACTCACATTCATGATATTCCATCACTGAGGAAAACTGCTAAGAATGGTCCGTGTGCGAAATAATTCCTTAGAGAAACACGGAGTTGGAAAAATAATCACTGATTAGACCTTAAAAATATCACTGCATAACATGACAAAAAGCACAAAGGCTGATTCAGAGAACATAGTCAACGTTCTCCTACACTGTAATAGTTATAATTTCACCATGACAAACACCAGACATTAAGATTAAGCTAACACTGGTGTTTCTTTTGTCCCCCCCTTAGAAACAAAATATGTAACTGCATGTCACTATAGCAACATCCAAAACAGATCAATTTGTTACGATCACTATTTGGTAGAGCAAACTTTACCCCCAAAAGGAAAAATTAAATTAAAAAACTTTTAAAAATTTGAAGACTTAATTTTTTTGTCATAGGAATACATAACACCTACAGTATAAGTTAATAAATTTCAAGCTACTGTATAGAAATACAACACTAGCATGCACAATATTGTATCAATAGAGTAATTGAGGAGTAATCATTTCACTGGAGAGACAGTATCATAGGCAAGTGCATTTCTTTAAAAATAAAGAAAAGAAAGGAAACCATTCAAGCTGCTTAAATACCAAGTCTCCCGTTCCCTCTTCAGTTCTAGTCCTCTGGTATGATTTTTATCTTGCATTATTCTAAAAAGCAGCCAGAGCCAAAGCTGAAATTTAAAGGAAAATAGGTTTTGTAATTCCAGTAAATCATTTTCAAATGCTACAAGGAAGGACACAACACTGTTCACTGGACATAAAGAGAAATCAGGGGAAGCCCACCTGCCCCTCCACAGCCACACACTGGACTTCTACTGTAACAGCACAAAGTGGCAAAGCTCTCTCTGCTGAGTCCTTCTAGGAGGCTCCCGGTGACTGGGACTTTTGCTCTAGCGTGAGGAGGGGCCCTCTAAGGAAAGTCACGCTGGGTAAACTGTGCGATGTTAGAGTGTATTGAGTTTATGGTTGTCAGCACTCCTCTATCATCACTGTCACCTGTATCCTGTTCAACATACTCATTTGTAATTGTAAGTTTGATTTCGATATTAGCAAAAGCATCTCCTGGGTTTTCCTCAATTATTACACCTCTTCTTGCCTAAATAAAACAAAGAAACAAACAAACCAAGTCTGGTGTTGTTACGCATCTTGGTAGTCCACATGGTTACTGATTTTATTTAATTAAAAAAAAAAACACTAAGAATAAAACTGCACATACAACATGCCATGGGTCATGTTTACAGACAGATTTATCCAATGAGAATGAGGGACCTACAGCTAACTGAAAACAAGCTTGCAGAAATAGCAATGTCGTTTCCTTCAGATTGCAAACTGTGCACTGACTGCACAAGATAAACGAATCTCCAATTTCTATGCTTTCACTGGAAAGAAAGAGGAAAGGTTTTGGTCAAACAAATTGCATATTCATAACCTGGTAACGATTTAGCTATCTCTTATAAGAACTTGGGAAAAGAGTGTTTCAGGGAGGAAAACCTGACACACTTTCGAGGCTCCTAAAAACGGAAAGATGTCTGTGAATGGAGCTCTTCCTTTTGGGTTTTCTACCAGCTCAGCTTCTAGCACCTGACTTCCTGCACTGCATCAACTTTCTCAAGATGACCACCCAGCCTCTCCAATCCGACAACCTGCTGAGCCCCACTGCCTGGCCTGGCACAAGCGCAGCAGGGAGGACTCAGTGCAGAGGGAAACAGATGGCAGTGTGATCCCTGAGGAAGGGGCTGTGGCAGCTGAGAAAGCAGGAGTCTTCAGAGACACCAACATGAGATAAATGACATACAGACCTGAATTTTCTCTATTTTGTGATGTTTAACATTTCTATTAAAATGATTAGTAATTTTTGTGGTGGGTTTACATTAGGAGGAAAGACAGACAAAAATCCCACAGCCACCTGCCAAGCACCTATTAACCAAAACCTAAAGAAGCCTTGATTCTCCTCAGGCAAATCTTTTAGCCTAGGAGACAGATAAAGAGCAAAACCAACCTGGATACAATTGAATGAGGATGGAAAGCCAAAATAAGTAGCAAAGGAAAACTCACAATCAATGGCTTGATGTCACATATGGCTGTAATGTAGAAATACTGTAAACTGCAATTTAGTGTTAATACTGTCACTAATCAGACTTCAAAAAACCGGCCAGGCCTAAACCACAAGGGTGAGTACACCTTATGCTCCAAGCCTGACTGTTTGGGATTTAAACTATGCCGTGTCTGGTAGAGTACACCCTGAAAGAAATGCACAGCTAAAACAGAGGAGAGAGAAAAGTACCCAAAACTTAAGACAAGAGCATATGTACATAAAAATCCTTACTGGAACCACAGAACTCACTGAATGAGGGCCATTCCATTTACGTCTTTTCATCTTAAATGCCTATCATCTAGCAATAAGTTAAATTAAAGACATAGCTCCACTTGCATGAACCTACAGAACAGTCCTTATGCCCGTGTGAGGCTGCTACTCCAATACCAGCACAGCTAGCCTGACTTTCCACTAGTGGTATTTTGGCAAAAATGTCAAAGAGGCGATCAAAGACAGGACAGGTCGTGGGTTTCTCCCTGGGAAGGTCAGCCCTCCCTTTCCCTCCCCCACCCGACCCCAACTCATGGGAAAAAAATAAAGACTGCAGTAGTAGCATCAGTGTGCGCTGCCAGTCCACCTGGGGGCCTTAATTGTTGCCTTCTCCACCCTCGTCGTCTTGCTGATCGCTTGTCCAGAGTGTTAGGTTGTCGCGGAGGAGCTGCATGATGAGAGTGGAGTCCTTGTAGGAGTCCTCGTTCAGAGTGTCGAGCTCAGCGATGGCGTCATCAAAGGCGGTCTTGGCCAAGTGGCATGCTTGCTCCGGGGCATTCTGGATCTCATAGTAGAAAACGGAGTAGTTAAGAGCCAGGCCCAGCCGGATGGGGTGGGTAGGCTGCATGTGCTCCTTGCTGATCTCATGGGCTTCACTATAGGCCTTTTCAGACGACTCCACGACAGTCGCCCTCTTCTCTCCAGTGGCCACTTCGGCCAAATAACGGTAATAGTCCCCCTTCATCTTCAGGTAGAACACTTTGCTCTCGTACTGGGTCTCGCTGCAATTCTTGATCAGGTAGTTATCCAGCAGGCTCAGCACATCCTGACACACTGCCTCCAACTCCTTTTCGATTTTTTCACGGTAGGCACGAACCATCTCTATCTTCTTCTCGTTGCCATCTGCAGACGTCTTCTGCTCAATGCTGCTGATGACCCTCCAGGAAGAACGGCGTGCCCCAACCACATTCTTGTAGGCCACAGACAAGAGGTTTCGTTCTTCGTTGGAGAGTGGCTCATTCAGCTCTGTCACCTGTTAGGAGAAAAATGAATGAGCTGTTAAGGTACAGACTGCATCAATCATATCTTCATACCACGAAGTCACAACTGATCTACCCATTGATCCAAGAGATTTACAGAGAAGTTGCACTGTGTGGATGGAGGGAAGGGACACGAAGGTGGAACAAGCAACCAAGAAGGGGAAAGTGCAGCTGGATCAATGGTTCCTCCCAAGAGAACAGCTTAGCACACACTGTACTATGAAAGAACTGTCAAGTCTAGACCTTAGATGACAAGTCAAATTTCACAAGGTTAACAGATTGCTCGTGTAACATTACTTGTATACCAACTAATCCTAGGAAGTTTAAGAGAGATGATTTCAATACCTCCACAAGTTTTCAGGAAAATAGAATGACTAAGGCCCTCTCCACTATAAACCTATCCTTTTTGGGCGAAACTACACTAAAAGGCAATTTCAGGCTGACTCCTGATGAAGGTATTTTTCTGCTTATATGCCGAGACCAGATGAGGTTAAGACAAACCTCAGAAAGGAAGTCAGAACAGGGGACATGGGATTTTTGTCTAACCACTGTATTTCAGCAACTTGGGGAAACATGTATTTGTGGCTGTTATCTGACAGACTACAATTAGCAATACAAAAGCAGGGAGAAATGAGCAAAGACTTCTGGGGCTGGGGTAGCTGACATGAATAAATGCTTTCCCAGCAGGTATTTTTAAAAATTTCTGTCTTCAACACTCAAGACCAGTCACACCTTGAGGAAACTAAAGCAACATCAAACAAGTTATGTTCTGACTACCAAACAACAGTTTATCAAGACATTAAGTCACTAACACTATATTCAGTTAGCCTAGATTATGAGAAACACAGCCATGTGTTTTTGATACAAATATAAATAATGCCTGATAACCACTGGAACCGATCACTTGGGCTGGCAATGCAGCTCAGCGGTACAGCACCTGCCTGTCATGTATGAAGTCGTAAGGTCAATCCTCAGAATGCAAAAAGAAACTGACTATTGAACAAGGATAGAACTCTTTCACTCCCAGGAAGAGGTCATTTTCCATTATTTGGACAACTGCAGCTTCTATTGTGCCTAAACTTTTGTATATTGAGCCAACAGATATAAAGCACAAGTGGAAATCCTAGACCATTCCCTAATTTTGCAAGACTACATACTTCCCAAGACTCATCTTCACATGCAGCTATGCTCTGGTCCCAACAAGTCCACTGTAAAAACACCATACTTCCATTCACATATTCTTTGGCCCTCCTAAAAGATCCTCCGGTATTGCTGCCTGCCAAATACTTACAGAACTGTCAGAACTCAAGTGAATACTCATATTCTCTGACTTCTTACTGCTCTACTCTCCTAGGTAATCTGGTTCTCCCTCCTTTATCCTCAGTGTTCCTGGCATAGATCAACCATGGCATCCATCCAGCTGAGATAAATTATATATACAAATTCATTCCTCTTATAAACTGGAGGGAATGTTTGATTCTTAGCCAATATTTTAGTCACTAATTTAAATGCTATCTATGAAATTAAATCAGAATGTAAACCAAATCATGGTAATTATTATAAGCAATTCACTCTTTGGATTAAGTTTTAATGTATTGCTTACTAATTCTCATAGCATAGAAAAATTGGTATACATATACAAATTCATTCCTCTTATAAACTGGAGGGAATGTTTGATTCTTAGCCAATATTTTAGTCACTAATTTAAATGCTATCTATGAAATTAAATCAGAATGTAAACCAAATCATGGTAATTATTATAAGCAATTCACTCTTTGGATTAAGTTTTAATGTATTGCTTACTAATTCTCATAGCATAGAAAAATTGGTATACATGCACATACTGCTTAAACTGATGACTTTTTTAAACTGATAACTTTTAAATTAACCCTTTACTACACATTACTGATTATTATAATGCTAGAGAACAACACAGAAGAGCAAAAAAAAAGTCAGTTTTACCCAGGTGTGGTAGCACACACCTGTAATTCCAGAATTTGGGGGGCTGAGGTAGGAGGATTGCTGTGAATATGAGGTCAGCCTGAATTATATAGTGAGACCTTGGCCTCAGGGAAAAAAAAAAAAAAGTTTTGGTAATGCTAGAATTCAGAGTAGAAAGAAGTCAGGTAAGAGGTGCCTTTTACTCCACGAACCCCTGTGCCTTCCCCTTCAGGCAAATATTTCTTCTGCAGGAATAAGAGTGTTTCTCATCTTTTGTCCAATTCTTCATACAGTCACCATTTATCTCAGACTACCCTCACTCCTGCTGAGTCCTGGTGTCTACACAGTACAGATAACCCAGAAAATGACTTGCCCAGTCGCATCATGCACCCAGTGTCCTCAGAGACAAGCTCATTTCATTTCTTTGCCTCAGTTTCCTTATCTGTAAGACAAGGTTCCTGCCTCTTTCATGAGATAATGATAGGGTACATGAGACTGATGCTCTTGATATATTAATATGCTGGAGACATATGAACAAGTGCTGCTGAGAATACCCTAAGTATGTTTCCTTCATTTAGTCCTCATAAGAGACACCTCCATTTCTTATATAATAGTTTCTCACTCACAGTCCAACGTTCAGTTATCTTACCGTTTCACCCTCTACTCCAGCCTAACACCTCCTTAGCGGAGGTACATCACTTCCCTTCCATGAACCTGAGTATCAGCCTGCAAAGAACTACCCAGAGTAGCCAGGAACAGACTGAGGCCTCTGCAGGGCCCGCAGGCACTCATGCCACCGCCAGACTCTGGTCTCTTCTTACTCTCTGGTGCAGAGGCCCAGGCCCTGCTGCCCCACAGTGCAACCTAGTAGCTGTCTCTGATGCCCAGAGACAGTCTTAGTGCCTCAGGCTGTGGAGATCAAGTTCTGGCCTCTCCCCTAAATCATGCTGTCCTTGTTTCAAGAGCCAGGAGCTATTTAAAGTTCAAGTGACCTCACCACCACACGATACCGTTAAGTCTCCTCTCGCTGCAAAGGCGGTTTGGCTCCAGAGCAGCCAGGCAGCGATCAGTACTTATGTAAAACTTGTCTAGTTGCTCCAGACAAACTGCAACATGGAGATTAAGAAACACCACCTTTAGATAGAGTAACTCAACCACATTTGGAACATACTCAGATATTCTCTGCCAGTGAAAAACTAAGTTAGAGGGAAAAACCTTTAGCTCTAAAAATTTTGCTCAAGAGAAATTTCAGAGTTTTCTGTTTGCCATTTGTGGGACTGATCCCAGGAAATGCGGGGCTACATACATCTCCAGCTCCTTTTTAAATTTTGAGATGAGACCTTGCTTCAAAACTTTCAGTCCTTCAGCCTCAGCCTCCCAAAAGTAGCTGGGCAAATACCACCATGCCTGGCATTAAAGTTTCTTTAAAAATCTTAACTCAGAAGTTCAAACTCCTGAAGAGGATATAAGAAGATGGAAAGACATCCCTTGGCTCCTGGGTAGGAAGAATCAACACAGTGAAAATGGCCAAACTTCTAAAACTGCTTGCTATACAGGGCCGGGAATTTAGCTCAGCGGTTCGGTGGCCTGCATTGCAAGTGCAAGGACCCGAGTTCAATCCCCGGTACCATCCCCCAAAAGACAGTTAAAACTGCTATACAGATTCAATACAATCCCGACTGAAATCTCAACAGTATATTTCACAGAACTTGAGAAAACAAACCAAAAATTCATTTGGAATCACAAGAGACCCAGAATAGTGAAAGCCATTCTAGGCAACAGAGACATGGCAAGGGGTATCACAATTCCCAACTTGAAACTATACTACAAAGCCACTGTGATAAAAACAGCATGGTACCTGCAAAGAAAGAGACCCGAGGATCAATGCAATAGATTAGAAGATGCAGAAACAACAGACATATTCAGCTACCTCATCTTTGACAAAGGAGCCAACCATCCTCACTGGAGAAAAGATAGCCTCTTTAATAAATGGTGTTGCAAAAACTGGCTTTCAATTTGCCAAAGATTAAAATTAGATCCCTATAGGGCCGAAGATTTAGCTCAGTGGTTCAGCCACCTGACTCACAAGCACAAGGTCCCGAGTTTGATTTCCAGTACCAAAAAACAAAAACAAAACAAAACAAAAAAACACTGTCATCAAATAAAATTAGATCCCTATCTTTCACCATGTACTACACTAAACAAAAATCCAAGTGGATTCAAGATCTAAATATCAAAACAGAAACACTAAACTTACTGGAAATAAATTAGGTAGAACACTCTCAAAGACACTGGCATAGAAAACTTTGTGAACAAATCCTCAGCAGCAGAAGAACTTACACAAAGAATCAACAACTGGGATCTCATTGTACTAAAAAGTTTTTGCAGTGCAAGAGAAATCACCAACAGAGCTAAGAGACAACCTACAATGTGGGAAAAAAAATTTACCGGCTACTCCTCAGACAAAGGACTACTACTATCTAGAATATATAAAGAACTCAAAAAAACCAGACCCCCTCCCAAATACAAAGATCCTATTTAAAAATGGACATCTGAAGTGAACGGACATTTCTCAGACAAACTAGTAAAAGCAGCAAATAAAATATGAAAAATATGTTCAACATCACTGGTCAATCGAGAGATACAGATGAAAACAACACTGAGATACCACCTTGCCCCAGAAAGAATGGCTGCTATGAAGAAATCAACCAGTAACAAATGCTGGCCGGGCTGTAGGGAGAAAGGAACCCTTCTCCAGAGATGGTGGGAGTACAGACTGGTACAAATCAATATGGTGGAAATCAATATGAAGATACCTCAAAGAACTAGGATTGGAGGTAACATTTGACCCACCTATCCCTCGGATGGGTACCTTTCCAAAAGAATTTAAAAATCATATCACAGTGATATATGTGCACCCATGTTTATAGCGGCACAGTTTGTAATAGCTAAAACTTGGAAACAACCCAAATGTCCATCAACTGGATAAAGGAGATGTGGTTTTTCTATAAAATGGAGTACTATACTACTCAGCCATAAAGAACAAGAAACT